GTGATCAGTTGCGATAGTTACGGATTGCTTTTGTCGTCCATTTGTGTAATCCGGATTAAGCCCTATTCATTCAGTTTCATGACTAACTACGAATATGTGTGTGTGTGCGTGCGTGTGTATGTATGTATGTATGTGTGCGCGATGTCACATTTCGTTTTATCGATGCAAACCGATACACTCTGTTCTGTGTGTACTTACCACGGCGGCTACAAGGAAAGTCCGTTCACACGGCAGCCTTGATCGGTTCACGGTACTAATAAAGAACCACCAGCAGAAGCAACTTACAGCCGGATGAATGAGCAGTTGAAGAACCAATAAGAAGTTCATAGGTATAGGAATATGGTCTTAGCGGCAGACAAACAAGTGAAGGCGGTCAGTGTAGCGCAGTCCAGATAGGTTTCAATACGATATGGATAAACTTTCAGTTAAGGTGCAACGTTAGAAAGAAAAGCAGGGTGTATTTGTACGGATTACAGAGCAAATCAGAATGAACTGGATTGAAATACTAGGAGTTGAGTTGATAGGCGTAAGCATATATGAGGAGACATTTGAGTGGATAAAGTCCCCTAGCCACGATCGTGTGAGTGGTGTCGTACTGGTGCAAGGACTTAACAAGGCCTCGATGAGTGGCTTACCCTTCTGGAAAGAAAGCCTCTAATTATGAGCAGTAATCAACGGTGTGCATGCCTACATACATATATGTATATATATATATAAACTGAAGACTCCGGTTAATGCACACATCTTGTAGGACGAAGAGAACGAGCACGCGAGAGCTTGAAGTATGATCACATGATGCTGAAATTGCTCACTTTTGCTCTCGCATCGAAAGTCGAGCTACGCAGACGGTCCGACCGAATCACGATTTACCACTTGCATTCTGCTCCCTTGTTCCTATATCCGCGCGCGTCATGGCTCGGTTCTCTACGTGTTGTCTAGCTAATGCATTCACTCAGACTGCAGACACATTGATTCACTGACACACAGTAGCCCAAATAGATCACCAATTTCTCTCGATATTGATTTCGGTCTTTGTCTACTTTGTTCCGTTNCCCGCCCCGCCCCGCCACCGACTGTCTCCACCACATCCATTTCACTCTGATCAGATTGGCATTCAACAATCGTGGTTTGTTGAAATTGGCTGATTTTTGCCACTCGAACGAGGCCAGTTCGGATGATCGATCGTTGTGGGAAATGCATCACCCGGGTGAGTAGAACTGGAAAACAAACCATGCGTTTTTCTGGTTTCCTAGCCTACAAGCGATTGAATACACATTAACCGTGCTTGATTGATTGAACCATGTCTGGGGTGCAAATACCGTCCCCCGAATTCGTCTATGATGGTCCGCGATAGCATCATATGGACGCCTCGAACGTTGTGCGCCCATATTGTTGCTAGTGATTTGGAATCGGTAGCTCGTTTGCTCCTCTGTCGATTTTACACAGTATAATTTGTCCCCTAACGACCCGGCTGTTCGGTTACGCTTGTGTTTGCGTTTGCGCAATGGAAAGGTGCTACCATTACGATTCGATAAACAAATGTGCTTCTCAGTGTTCTTCATCCCTCACATCAAATAAAGAATACTAAATCTGTGAACATGAATGTTTTATACACATCAATCTACCACCACAGGACGTGAGTTAGTATATGTGGTTCCTTGCTGAATGTTTAATATAGCCAAATTTCCCACCAATAATCTATCGGTGGCCCTATTAACCGCGATCGTTTCCCCAGGTCTTACA